GAGGGGGAGGGGATAGATAGATAGATAATAGATAGATAGATAGATAGAGAGATAGATAGATAGAGGGGGGGGGGGTACTGTAGTATTCATAAAACAATATTAACTGACTGCTTAGGATGTAACAAAGGTACAGATGTTCTATTGGGATCATGCGAGATAAACTTTGTGATGGTTTTTTCCCCTGGATCAGTTACAGCTGGAAGTACATTTTTACGCTAAAATCATATAAATCTTCCATGCTAAAGAAATAATATTTGTTTAAGTTATATTAAATTTAGGTTTTCTTTATTTCAAATGCTGATTAAATCACTAACACTGGATGTGGCCTCATTTTTTTTTTTTTCATAAAAGTTTTTGTGTTTTAAAGGTCCAGTACAAGACTTGGGAGTAGCTGAAGGGCAAGACCCATGTTGGTATTTCAATATGAATCCAGAGGTGTAATCACAAACAGTTCAACCAGAAAGAGGCAATTAAGAGTCTAAAGATCCAGCGGATGTTAAATGCATGTAACCTATAAGGCTCTTCAGGTCTTCCCAAGGAAAGAAAAGATGAAAGAGAGAAGAAGCAGAGAGCAGAACAAGAGAAAAAGAAGAGAGGAAAGAGTGAGAGGGGGGAGGGGAGGGAATACGCCCACTAATGATGACAGAGCATAGAGTATCAGTTATTACTACAGATACCTTGTAATAAGTCCAAGCTCATATAAGCAATCCATATACTCCATGTGAAGGTGTATTGCTCAAATGTATCATGTAAACGAGTCGTCAGTTCCTGTTGCAGCCGAATTAATTCAGCCTACTCCTGGACCGGGGTTGCCACCTTTTCTTCATGAAAAACTCAAACCCTCTAGAGGCACACAGCAATTTTTTGGGGAGAATATACAGGAGACGGAAAGAGAGAGAGAACCGGGGGAGAGAGAGGGGAGATATATTTTATGTTGCGTGCATTAAAGCTAATAAGTGTAAGTATACCGTATTTTTCCGTCTATAAGACGCCCCCATGTATAGGACGCCCCCCACTTTTCTTACCCAAAATTCAGAAATCAATATTTTCCATGCTCTTTTGCATAATTGATTACATCCAGTTTAAATTTTGCAGAGTAAGACAGCCGCTTACTGGTATCGGTATTTTTTTTGTTTTGTGAAATTTTTTGGGCTCAGAATGCTCCGACATTACCGGCCCCTGTTGCATCTGGGCACTGGCTACAGGCTCTCCGCAGCATCAGCTGACGTCGGGTACATAAGGCTCATGATTGGAGGAAACCTGTTAGCTTGTCTCTGCAATCGGAAGTTTCACTCGTGAGGCTAGTTTGCAGAGGTATCGGCAGTACTACTCAATGCTTGGGGGGCTGCTGGATTAAAAGGAAAAGAATTGGAAGAACTTTCCCTTTTCACCACTAAAAGGTTTTTTGTTTTTTTATTGAACACTGTCACTTTTCCACTGATACTTGTTATTACATTTCGGGACAGTTATTAGTATCAGTTCACAACTGACACAGAATACTTTTTTGCTTGTTACATTGTGATTAGACATGTGCAATTCGTTTCGTTACGAATCGAAATTCGTACGAATTTCTTAAAATTCGTAAATTCGGAAGCATCCAAAATCCGAATTGCAATGCTTCTGAATGTAATACGAAATTCCGTTTCCGAATTTTCGGAACTTTCGGTTCCGAATTTCGTTGAAATGGAAACTAATAATACCTCTGTGAGTGAGTTTGAACAACATGACAATTTTTTCGTATTTATCCGAAAATACGGAATTTCGTTGATTTCTGAACCGAATTTCTCATCCAAATTTTCGTTGAAAAGGGAACTAAGCAACTAACTAATATACTAGTCATCATGTACAAAATTCCGTTAACGATTTTCGGATCCAAATCCGAATTTCGTTACAACGGAATAGTGACTGTTTGAGCAATCAGAGGTTTTCTTCTGCTGCTGGGGGAGGTTGTTTTTTGGAAAATTACAAATTGAAATTTAATTAAGCTTTATTGGCAGGACCAAATACATTTTAGCATTGCCAAAGCATATGGGGAAGTTAATGACCTCTTTTAATATGGGTGTGGGAGACTGGGAGTCAATGTGAGATTCAGAATCGGACGAAATAATAATGTTCGTTATTATCATATTAATTCTGATAATTCGTTATGATGAAGTAAAATTACCTTTTTTTAATTTGTTAAATGTTAGTCACCAGTAGGGAGGGATGGTCCGCAGGTTCGATTTGAACATGAGTAGGAATCGAACATTGTTAGTTCGAGCGTTGTGGTAGCCCCTCATAATGGGCACAGCAGGTATACAGACCCGGGAAGTCATCACAGGGATGGTGGGAACCCCTCATAATGAGCATAGCAGGATTTCAGACCCAGGAAGTCAGCACAGGGATGGTGGGAGCCCCTCATGAGCACAGCAGGAGTATATAGACCAGGAAGTCAGCACAGGGATGGTGGGAGCCCCTCATAATGAGCACAGCAAATGTACAGACCCGGCAACTCACTCAGCACAGGGATGATGGGAGTCCCTCATAATGAGCACAGCAGAATTTCAGAGCCAGGAAGTTAGCACAGGGATGGTGGGAGCCCCTCATAGTGAGCACAGCAGGATTTCAGACCCAGGACCAGTCAGCACAGGGATGGTGGGAGCCCCTCATAATGGGCACACCAGGTGTACAGACCCGGCAACTCACTCAGCACAGGGATAGTGGGAGCCCCTCATAATGAGCATAGCAGGATTTCAGACCCAGGAAGTCAGCACATTGATGGTGGGAGCCCCTCATAATGAGCAAAGCAGGATTTCAGACCCAGGAAGTCAGCACGGGGATGGTGGGAAACTGCCATTCTGCTCCCTGACAGCGAGGTTGCTGGTTCCTTAGCTCGTGAGCTTCCAGAGACAGGGGGCTAGAGTTGCTTCTCTGCCCCCAGGAGAGATGCTGGATCTTGGGGAGGACCCTGGCGGGGGCTCCCTGGAGAGGCCTGTGACTAGGCCTCAGCCTGTGGAAGATTCTGGGCCTGGCCCAAGGAGAAATGAGTCCCTATCTGCCTTTAGATGGAGGATTGTTGGAAAGCTGACCCGGATTGATAAAGAGGAGGAGAAATTGACAGCTTTGAAAGCTGAATTTAGAAAGAAAAAGCTGATTTATGCCAAAGTTTTCAGCAAGAAGAGACCGGCTCTGAGGCCTGAGTTGAGAGACGTGGAGCAAGCATTGAGGAAGCAGAAGGAGTTGGTGAGCGCTCTTAAGGAGAGCAGCGGAGCGTTTAAAGAAAAATATAAAAATGAAGAGCATTTCAGCAGGATGAGGAGAGGAGCCACTTCCAGCATGGAGAGTGACCCAGGCAGTGAGGAGATGCCGGTACCGACAGAGTCAGCAGAGAGTGAGAAAGCGGTCCCGGAGGATGAGCCCAGCTCTTCAACACCTCAGGAATCTGCTGAGCCCCCGATGGTGGAGGCCTCTGTCCCCCTCCCTCCGCTGCAGCAGTATGGAGCATCTGAGCAGGAGGTTGAGGGAGGTACTGGCATGCTGGAGTTCATCGCTGAGCTGGAATCCCCTCTGGATGGAAGAAAGTTCTGTTTCTCTGCGGATTCCTCGGATGACGACGATATGGATACCGTTTCTCGCCCGGTGAAAGAGAGACCTGTGGAGAGAGCAAGATTCACCCGAAAGTCTGCAACAACCAGGAGGAAGTCTGATCCCACCGTCGGCCATGACACTGCAGAGGTAACAACACAGCAAGCAGGTACAGTGTGTGTGCAAGATGGTGGTGATTTGAACTTTAATAATGACAATGGGCTTGCTGGGGGCTGCAGTGCTACGGACATTCAGCCCACACCCATAGACAATGCTGTGCAATCTGATTCACCTGCTACAATTGGTGAGACATCTGTAGCTGACTGTGAGCTTCTGGGGGAAGAGTCTGCAGAGAGGAGCGTCATGGGCACTGCAGAGACTTTGCCTGGACCAGACACAGCCGCTGTCCCTGAGAATGGTGGAGGAGGTGCTGGGAGCAGTGGTGCCACGACTGTTTTGGAGTCTGCAGTAGGCGGGACTGTGTTTGAATCCAGGAGAGAGGCTGATTGGTCAGAGCAGGGGGAGGGGGCGGGTCTTGCCTCTGTTGCTCCAATGACTGCTATCCTGGCTGATTCAGACTCCTTGTCAGCAGGTGTGGTTGTGTCTAAGGACAATGCTGCAAATGTTGGTCGTGTGTCTGTGAGGAAAACATATGCTGGTGCTGCTACAGGAGCAGGGAAAGATCCCGGAAATGTTTTGTCTGCCTCACTATTTAGAAGGAGGAATGTTGTGCAGCTTCGATGGGAGGGTGGGGGTATTCCCCCACATAGGAGGGCAGTGGTGGATAAAATTCTACAGA